TGCTATTATTATCTCCATTTTGTGGATGAGGAAACTCAGAAATGAAGAAGTTTAAGTGACTTGCCCAAGATCACATAGCTAGAGAGTGTCCTGACTCCAAGTTCTGTGTTTTATCCACTATCACTTAGCTGCCATTATTATTTTGATAAAGAGATTTATTTTCATAGAAATAACTTAAGTGGCAGGACAATGTATCCTGGTCAATCTCAGTTAGCCATAGCCAGAGGAATAAGAATGGGTTGATCCACACAGCCATTTTCCAAGGCACTATTCTTCACCTGGTGGCAGTTACCCAAATTGTAGACCCAAATATCTTGAAACTATTCTCTAAATTAAAGATAACCAGCCAGTCATGCCTACAAACCCAAACCTATAAAGTGATGCCAGATACCACATCTGGGTTATGTCCTATGATTCTCCCTAGCAGAATTTTTTTTCAGAATTTTTGATAGGGTAGAAAGTCTTATGCAGTTTCCTACTCCATCATTCCCTCAAGATGTCAAAGTGACTTTTTGCGGAAGAGCAGCCTCCTTATTTTACAAATGGGGGAAAATGAGGCTGAGAAAAGTGAACTGTTGTACCCAGAGAGAAACAAGGAGTAGGTGCAAAGGCAGGAGAAGATCTCAGGTCTTCTGCCTTCAAATCTCATGTTCTTTCTACTGTAGTATATTAACTAAATCTACTGACTCCCAGTACAAGATTCCTGACATTCCAACATAAGTCTTACCTAGCTAATTATTTCATTTATCAGATCTCTTTGGAGCTAAGTGTTCTATGCTCCAGGAAACCTAAATAAATCAAAACCTAACCCACAAATTCTCAAATATTAGTGATATTGAAGCAGGTCTATACAGCAGATACTCCATGCCTCAAATTGCCATCTCATTGGCCTCTGGCCCAACTGTGGAAGAAATCTTATAGACTCAAAGGATCAGAGGGGTTTAGAACTGACAGTAAGCCAAGAAATCATCATTTTGAAAATGGAGAAACTGAATCCCACATTATCAAAAATGAGTTGCCCAAAAGTATTCCAACTCTTAAACTCAGGTGAGACAGTTGCTGTAAGGGATAACAATGTGATTTCATCATTGCACCCAAGGAGCAACAAGGAATAGTCGCAAAGTTAGGTGCTCCCCACCAACACAGATGATACCTCAGTAAATAGGCATTCTGAGTTGCGATGCCTTAAAAAATGAATTATCGGCGCAGCTAGGTGGTACAGTGGATAGAGCTCTGGCCTTGGAGTCAGGAGGACCTAAGTTCAAATCCAGCCTCAGACACTTAACACTTATTAGCTGTGTAACCATGGGCAAGTCACTTAACCCCAATCGCCTCACCAAAAAGAAAAAAAAAGCAAAAAAGAAAAGAATTATCTAGTGGCCAAGCAAGGCTAGTCCTCAGACAACAGACGTATACTTGAAGCCTTTCAGCTTGAGCCTAACCTACCAGAACTTGCTTCTGTGAACCCAGGGACACCTTCACTCCATGAAGAAGCATTGAGGACTTTAGTGAAGGAAGGAATCATTATCACTATCATAATCATAACAATAACATTTACTTCACCTTTTTGACAGCTATAAAGTGACTTATATTCATTTTCTCCTTTTGCTGTCTTCATTTTACAAATTAGGAAAATGTGTGACTTGCCCAGGGTCATATGGGTAGAAAATGGTGAAATTAACACATAAAGCCAGGTCCAGTGCTCTTTCTAGCAGACCATCACTATACCATGTATGCTTCCCTCCTGTGGCAGGGAAAGGGCCAATAATAGTGGGTATTGTACCATCACAGCGGCTGCCAGGAGAAGTGTCTTAACATGGACTCTATTCTATCAATGCTACATATTTGAGGGATGAAAACTTCATCATTTCAGAGATATGAGTGTTATTCACAAGACAGTATTGGGGCAGTCACCAATGACATGAAGAAAAAGAGTCTTGGGGCAGTTAGGTGGCACAGTGGATAGAGCACCAGCCCTAGAATCAGGAGGACCTGAGTTCAAATCTAGCCTCAGACACATAACACTCACTAGCCATGTGACTGTAGGCAAGTCACTTAACCCCAATTGCTTCACCAGAAAAAAAAAGAAAGAAAGAAAGAGTTGTGTGTCAGTCAACCCCAGTGCAGGTTAAATCATTCAAATTCTATTACCAAGAAAATAAAAATAAATAAATTCTATTACCAAGTAGTTAGGAATACAGATATTCCCGTAACCTACTAAACAGGGGCCAAAATAGAGGCAGCAGCAAGATACCTTGAATCTACCTTTTCCACCTGGAGCCAATGGACTTAGAACGGAAGAAAACAGGCTTTCTCTCCAGTATCTTTTCTCCCAGATCAATTACAGGAAGCAGATATCTTGAAGTGAACACTATATTTTGGTTCTGAATGGGATAATATAGATGTGCTAAACCACCCCTTTAAGTAGAACAAGCATTTTCACAAGGCTGGGGTTTCTGAATTTATATACTGCATTTAGCAGAGAAAGGGTGGACCATGGCACCTTTTCTGTCTTCTTGCCTTGGTTTTCCGCAGACTGGCACTTGAAGTTGCCAAATTTTTCCATCTCTTCCACTGAAGAGTCTCCGGCCTGTATAGGATCTTAGCATTTTAGTGTTGGAAGAGACCTTAGAGTTCAATTAGTCTGACCCCATTCAGGAATTTGACCTCCAAGTTCCCTGTCCAATTTCTGAGCCTTTGCAATTTTGCAGATAAGGAAAATAAATCCAAAAAGTTTAAGTGATTTGCCAGAGGTTAAACAAGTTGTAATGGGCAGAGCCTGAATTGGAACTCAGGTCATCTGACTCCAAGTTCAATGTCTTCTCCACTAAGGCTTTCAGTCTTTCTCTTCCCTCTTGGATCAGTCTTGGGTGACACTCGCAGACTGTGTCTGGGGGAGTGGCAGAGGTGGAAGGAAGGGAGGTGCTTCTTGAAGGCCAATTAGGGTGTCCTTTTCTCCGCCTTATTGAATAGCATCATAAAATGTTAGAGATGGCCTTGTAGATCATCCATTCCAACTCCCTCATTTTATAGATGAGGAAATTGACAGTAAGACAGGACAAAAACTACATGCAAAAGGTCATATAACATTTCATTGACAGACTTGGAGTATAATATGATGGTTCAGTCCCCTGAGGCTAGAGAGTCCTCTGAAGAATCAACTCTCCCTGCTATGTCTAATCCTTTTGTAAGCCGACTCAAAATTAATAGTCTAAAGTCATTTACAAAGCACTTTCCATTTATCCTGTTTGATCCTTACAAGCCCAGGAGTTCAGCAGTACAAGTTTTACTGTCTTCTTTTGCTAGATGAGGAAACTGAGGCTCCGAGAGATTAAGTGATTTGTCCAAGTTCACCCAGCTAGTAATTGACAGGGCTGGGATTTGAACCCAGGTCTTCTAATTCCAGATCTAGTGCTAGAGTTGCTTCATGGACATTATCTCCCTTCCCCCCTACTCCACTTCCCATACATACACACACACACGCACATGCACACGTGCACACACACGCCCATGCACACACACACAGCACTATCTTGTAGCCAGTCCCATCAAGGCTTTTTTTCTGGCAAGGTGACAGGTGTGCTAATCTAACAGACTAATCCATAAAGTAATGGGTGTAATGTGTGTCAATATGGTATTCCTCCTAGGGAAAAATATTTTCATTTTAACAAGGACCTCCTGAAGACATGCCAAAGGAATGATTCTAAGAATGGAAATTTAGAGCACCATAGCCAGCTGGTGGGGGAGATGTATTCAGGGTTGGCAAATTGTCAGTGTCCTGCATGTCATACCATATAGCTGACTGCCAGTGTTTCTAGCCAGCCTTCATTGTAGGTCAAATTGGATGATATGTATCATCAGAATCCATATCACCATCAGGTCATTCCTTAGGGGAATTCTGATAACGCAGCAGAAAACCAAATCAGGCTTCTGTGTCCAGATGTTACAGCCAATGCCTAAAATCCAGAATTCCTTGATTCTGCCTGAAGGTTTCCCCACTTTAACTACCCACCCCATAAAAGAAAGAAACTTTTTTTAAAGCATCATTATTTTCAGTTTTATATACACCTGGATAAAAGACAATGTAAGACTACTTCAAATTCTAAATTTATGACCTTACAGTCATTTGCTTTTGATAAGAGCACCCGCTTAACAACTTGGATATCAGTTATTTCCTAATACAGAGGTGTGAAGAAAGTGCTTTATAAACCATCACCTACACAAATTGCATTAAGACTTTGGGAACACTCCACATAAATGTGAGCTATGATTATTTTTGGTGAAAGTTGTAGGATAAGAATCTCTGGCATTTACATAATGGTTTATGGAATATATTATGTCACAGGACCCTCACCATAGACTTGTGAAGTAGGGAGGGAGGAGTGACATCCGCATTCTAGAGATGGGGAAATCAAGGCTCAGATCACACGGCAGAGTCAGAATTTGAACATAGCTCTGAATGCAAGTCCAATGGTCTCTCTACAACACCTTGCTGTTTCATGTAAATCTAGAGAAAAGAGTGCCATTCATTGGACCATTTGGGAAATAGAAGGAGAATTTGATGCCACGGTTCAGTTTCCACATTTTCAGCCATTTCCCTTATCGACCAAGCTACATGAAAAGAGCCTCCATAAACAGATGAGTGAGAACTGAAGCATGTTTGCTCCCTTATAAGCCAGTTCATTACTTTAAGCCGCTGACTGGACCCTGCCAAACCAGCAGGGGCCTTGGCTTGAGTTAGATGGTCTCTCCTTAAGCTCTTTGTTTTCTTTGTACTGTTATTCATGTGAAAAAAAAATGAGTTTTTTTTTCCTTTGTTTGTTTCTTTGGTTTTTGTTTGTTTGCCTATTTGTTGTTTTGGTTTGTTTTTGGAAAGGAAAATGGGTGTCCTATTTGAAAGCTGAGTTCCTTGTTTCTTTCTTTTGCCCCATCACTGGCTGCATGTTCTCTATTGATGTCTTGTTCCTGGTCCTTGACAATGACCATCTTGTCTGTGAAAGGAAGCACTTCGGCTGGCATGATTGATAAGAAGAAAGGGAAGTTTTCTTGGTTTAGTCACTCCACAGAAACCCATGGTAATGTTCCACTGTGCTCTGTGTGTGTACGTGCGAATTAACGTCTTTGTGTGTGTATGTGTGTCTGTGTGTCTGTGTGTGTGTGTGTGTGTGTGTGTTGATGGGAGGGTGCTCCTCTTGGGGGCTTGTCTTGCAGTACCCCTGTATGTGTTTCAGGGGATGGCCCACTGCCCATCCATGGCCTTTTAATTTCTTCAGACGTGTAGCCAGTGGCCCATAGCAATCAAGAGTTGTTGTCTTACTTCCATACCAGCATGGATTACAGGGCAGTTTCTTCACTTGGACAGTGCCTGGATCATGTAACGGTTTAATTGGCACAGAAAATCCTTTGAAATTAAGAATAACATAGCTACTCCTTATGCACATCCCCAGTTGTCCTTTTAAGAATGCTTCACTACCATTTCAGATAAAAGACAAGACTTTGCTTAAAACAAAGTGAAACAGAGGCAGGTATAACCCCTATATGCCTCAGAATTTCACATCAACATGTCTAGTAGGCAGATATGGCTAAAGTATGTCAAGGTATATGATGGGTCAAGAGCAAGAAGGCTTTTCATTTTTGACATTCATCTTTTTTGGCGTTTATGGAACAAATAACCTGATCAGATCAAAAAGGTTCATCTTCTCAGCTCCCAATGTTAAAACCATTCCAAAAACCTAGCCCCTTCATTAACAAAAGTTCTTTCAGAACTTGTGCTGATAGACGTGCTAATTTATATGTTTGTATAAATTATGTATATATACATATATATATATATATATAAAGATTTATGAAGCATTTTACATATATTGTCCTCTCTTTTGATCCTCAAAACAATCCAGTGAGGTAAGTACTGAATGTGTTGTCATCCCATTTTCCAGATTAGGAACTGAGGCTCAGAGACATGAAATATGTTGCCTGGTCACTAGACTAATTAGTGGTTAAGTTAACACTCAAACTTAGGCCTTCTGACTCCATGCCTCATGCTACCTATGCAGCTCCCATGATCTCGGTCAAGGGAGTTGACTTTTGATTCAGTGTAAGGAGTTAATGTGTAGGGAAAAGTAGAGAGAGATATGGCCTTGTAAACCTGGGTTTATTTTCAGCTAACCTGACCACAAATGATTCCAAATATGAGGAGGGTTCTATCTCCTAGAGTGAGCACTCATTTGTGAATTTTTCATTCAGTTTTTCCCTCCTCTCTTGGACACAGACTTCTCTTGATTACCTGAAATATCTCTTTCTCCAAAAGAAACCAGGAAATTCCTGTCATTATTATCCTAATAATCAATAGTCCTCCCCAGGTTTTGGCCCTGGGGCTGAATGGCAAACAAGATAGATCCATGTTTTTATCCCCCAACTCAGTCTGTTCTAGAAGAAGAACTGGGCAGACTGTATGTGGCACCTCATCTGAAAAACAAAGGATAAAGCAAAACCCACAGGATTTAGAGCTGGAAGGGTCTTTAGACACCCTCTGGATCAGCAATTCTCAAAGTGTGGTCTGAGGACCCCTGAGGGTCTCTGAGATCCTTTCAGGGCGTCCACATGGTCAAAACTACTTTGACAATACTAAAATATTATTATCTTGTTAATCCTCCCTTTTACAACTACATATCTATGTGACGACAGATTTTCTTCGTGTTTCAACCAAAACAACATATCTCAGAAGATATGAGAACGCAGCTGTCTTCTACTAAGCTAAACACTAAAGAGATTTGTAAAAATATGTAAAACAGTGTCACTTCTTACTAAGTTGCTTTGGTTTTATTTTGGATTTGGGGTTTTTTTTTTTTTGCTTTGAAATACATATTTTTCATTGAAAATACTACTTATGTTAATAGGTAATAAGTTTGTTTTCATTTTAAGTGAATTAAATAAATATTTTTAAATGTTATCAGTTTTAATTCCTAATATGGTAAATCTCAATAGATATATACATATATATGTATATATATATACATACAAACATACATGTATGTGTGTGTATATATATATGTATGTATATACACACACATACATATTGGAGAGGCAATCAAGATTAAGTGACTAGCCCAAGGCTAGTAGGTATCTGAGGCCACATTTGAACTCAGGTCCTCCTGACTACAAGACCAGTGCTCTATCCACTGTGCCACTTAACTGCCCCTCAATAGATGTTTAGCACATCATATAAAAGCTCTTTGGATCCTCAATAATTGTTTTACAGTTTAAAGGGGTCCCAAGGTCAAAAAATTTGAGAATTGCTGATCTAGATCAATCTCTTATTTTGTGGATGAGAAAATGGAGGCCAAGAAAGTTGAAGTATTTTGCCTAAGATAACACTGGTAGTAAATAACAGAGCCAGAATTTGAACCCAGCTCCAGTGCCTCCAAATATACTGTTCTTTACACTAAGCCAAGCTTCCTTTCTTTTATGTAATACTAAAAGGGAAAGGGGAGGCAAAAATGGAGAAAGGACCCACCTCAGTACCAAAATGTTTCTTCTGAAAAGGGAAAAAAAGAAATGGTTTCTATGAAACGCACCCCCCCCCCAGTTAGATATAAAGGCAACTTTCCCTCTGGACATCCTACTGACTTGGGAAGTCCAAATACTGAAGAGATAACAAGCCTATGATGACATGACTTAACATATGCTTATCTCTCAAGCCAAGTTGTTGAGATGGATATGTCAGCATTACTGAACCCCAACCTGGTGAGCAGTCACCAAGCTCTAGTTTAGTTGTGTTTTGTCGGTCCCCATACTCTTATAACTCCTTGAAGTATTCCCACAATGCCTAGCTAGTGGGCTTATACCTTGAGTTCACCCAGTAAAACTGAGTCCAAGGTGACCCAGACTGTAGATTAAGGGTTCTTAACCTGGGGACCCATAAGGAGTCTTTGGATAATTTTTAGGAGGTATATAAACTTGGAACTTTAGATACTCTGAAAACTGTGTTTCAATATAATCGGTTTCCTTTGCAATCCTATGTATTTTATTGTATGCATTTTAAAACAATATTCTGAGTAAGGTTCCATAGGTTTCACCAGACTGCCAAAGAGGTTCATCACACACAAACAAGTTAAGAACCCCTGCTCCAAATTCTTCCTAAATGATAGGAATGTGATGATTTAGAAGACAGGAGCCAAATGAAGACCTTGGCACAGGTGGGCATTGCCAAAAAGTTCACAGCAGCCACACCTGGTGAGGCACAGCTATGAATTTGGCATGGAGAGAGAGAGAGAGAGAGAGAGAGGCCTTAAATATATGGTCAACCAAACTCTTTCTTTCCAGTTTAAGTTTTAATAATAACATAGTAACAGTAACAATAGCACATTTCTAGAGCACTTTCACAACCTATGAGGTGGGTAGTGGATTTGCCCAAGGTCATACAAGTAAGTGTAGTGAGTAAGGAAGGAGCCAAGATTCAAACTCAAATTCCATCTCTTAGAGAGCTGGGTAGATGGTAAGGAATGAAGGGGAAAGAAGTCATCTACTAAAAGTTTCTCTCTTTATGAATGGTAAGTTAGGAAACTGGTCCCACAGGCTATCAATGTTTGATGCTAAATTTATCCATTTGTCAGACTACATTGAAGTGTGCCAGTGCTGTTTTTTTTGTTTCAAGGTGATCATTTATGTATCTCAAAACATTTCCGGGGGGTGGGGGGGTGGGGGGGGAGGATTGCTCTCAAGACCAGTTCCCTACCCTCACACCCCACTCACACCCTTCAAGACAGTTCTCACCACTTTTCATCGACTAGCAGCAGAGCTTATCTGCGATAAGCAATAAGACAAAAACCTAGGAAATCCTACTTTCCTCTCCCTTCAAACCTCAGGACACTGGGACTTATTCCAGTGGATTTCATTCTCCTCAGAGGCAACTACTACCATTCTACCCCTTTGTCCAGCCAACTCCAATACTTCTACCCATAGTCACTTTCTGCAAATCAACATTGCAGTTGTCACTCAATATTAGGCATGTCAGCAACTAACTTTCTCCCATTATCCCAATTTTCTGCTTTCTCCCTTTTGACTCTTACAGTGAGCATGCCCACAAGTGAGACAGAGTCGGTCAACACTGAAAACGTGGCTGGAGGCGACATCGAGGGAGAGAACTGTGGAGCGAGGCTGGCGTGAGTAGGCATGGCAAATCCAGTGGGCCTAGGGCATTGATGGGGGCATTGCTCTATAAGTTGGTCCTGAAATCAGGTATTTAAGGGGTATCAGCTGGCCCAACACAATGGGAAGACAAAAGTCTATCACCAAAAAGAAGCAGAAACACCAGACAATGGCATAAGTAGAGTGAAAGGAATGATTTTTTGGTTATGCCTAATGGATTGATAGGCTGGGGTGGGAGGGTTGGGAAAGAACGTTACCATTGAGGTAGAGCTCCAAGTAAAAATTCCCATGCTTCCTGTGAAGCATGTGCTTTGGGATCTCATGTCCTTACATTGAAACAACAAATATAAGTATACTCTATTGTAGAGTTCTTCAGCTTTACAGAGTCTCACTGGAACTTTTCACCATCCACAGCAAAGAGACTATGAGACAAAGGGGATATTAGGCCTTGCTGATCAGGTTTTAAATTCTGTTAGACAGGATAACCTGGGCTGAAAAGAAAGCAGAAAAGTATGATATGGGCCATTAAAAGACTTGACCTGTGTCACTGAAGGAAAGAAGTGTCGTTAATGTGAACACCAGATAACTCAAAACTCATCTTTGTTTAACTTTGGAATGTAATAATAATAAAATAATATACAAAGGTTTTCAAAGTCCTTTATATATGTATTATATTATTTGAGTCCCATAATAACCCTATGAAATAAGAGCTACAGTTATCATTACTTCGTTTTACTGTTGAGGAAATTGAGGCTTAGAGAATTTAAGTGAATTGCCCATGGTCACACAGCTATGAAGTGTTAGAGGTAGGATTTGAACAGGGGTCTCTCCTGACTCCACATCTACTGTTCTTGCTATGGTTAATCAAGCAATCATTATTTATTACATATCTAACCAATGCCAGTTGCTGAATAGGGGATACAAAGAAAAAAAGAAAACAGATCCTGCCCTCAAAGAGCTTACACTCTAAGAGGGCAAACAACATGTATACATAAGTAAATACAAAATATGCATAAAATAAATATGAGGAATGGACAACTATGTGGCTCAATAGATAGAGAGTAGGGCCTGGAATCAGGAAGACTCATCTTCTTGCATTCAAATGTGGCCTCATACACTTACTAGCTGTGTGGCCCCGGGCAAGTCTCTTAACCCTGTTTGCCTCAGTTTCCTCATCTGTAAGATGAGCTGGAGAGGAAAATAGCAAATCACTCCAGTATCTTTACCAAGAAAACCCCAAATGAAATCATGAAGCATTGGCCATGACTGAAACTACCAAACAACAACAAAATAGGAAGTAAATTTTGAAGTTGGAGGTGGCACTGTACCATGCTTCTTACTCGAGACAGCCCCCCCTCAAACACACAACACATAAGTGACCTACACACACACACACACACACACACACACACACACATCTCCCATTGTGGTCAGCTCCAGGCAGTGATAGGGAGAAGGGCCTTAAATGATCCACTCTTCATTCCACTTATGAAAAATTAAGAGTCAACTCCATTAGCTTTGTTATGTTAATCTTGAACATGGAAACAGTAAGACCGTCTGAAATATTGACCCAAAGAAATGAACATTGAAATGGTCTAATTACTAGAAGTTTTTTTTTAAAGTCAGACATTAGATATGAAGAAATTAATTCTTCCCTTTGGAGAATAAAAACAACATCCCCTGCTGCAGACACTTGCTTGAGGCATAAGGATCACAGACTTCAGCTCCGTAAATAGACTGCCTTGTACTAGTAGGTGAATCGAAATGAAATTAATTGAATTGAATCTAGTTGAATTGAAATGAGATACATCTAGATAGATAGCACTGAAGAAGCCTGGTTTCATGTAGGATGAGTCTCTAAAGATTTCATCAAGCAAAGGGCATCCTTTTCACCCCTCAGAAATGGCTCCGTTATTTTGGTCATAAGACAGTCCCCCAATGAGGAGCTTGCAGGTGGTCTGAGCATTTGTTGTGCCAGCCTCCAGGATGATTTCTGAGGATGAGGAGAAGCTCTTATGAAACTCAAGGCCTGGGGATAGACCAGCTCTTATGATTTCTCCCTCCTGGGCATGTAGGACTTTTACTATCACTCACTCTGACAGAGGCACCAGGGAGTCTGCACTGCAGATTTCTGAGGAAGGTAGGGAGGTAATTATTGTCAAAACGCTAAAATACCATGCTAATTACATTTTTAAGCAGTAGCCTGGTATTTTGTTTGCTTCCTCTCCCTCATTCGGGATAGTAGAAAACAAAGTCTTTGAATTTCTGGAGGCAGCCTTTACCCAGTGAAAACCAATTGAGAAGCCTTCCAGTCTCATCAGTGGAAGGGCTACACTTGCTCTGATATTCTCAGAAGGCTCCATGGAAAGATCCTGTCTCCAGGAGTGGAGAAGGAAATGATGCTGGGCCCTAAAACATGTTCCAAGTGTCCAGAACAAGACAGAACAGGTAGAATAAGAACAGGGAGGATGCTTAAACCTGTAGCTTTAGGAAGATGCTGAGGTATAGGTGGGAGCCAATGTCATTCTGTGCCAGAATTGAAAAGCACCTTGGAGCTCCTCTACTGCACCCCTACCATTTGACAAGTCAAGTCAACAAGCATTTATGAAGTGCTTACTATGTACTAAGCATAGGAAAGAGAAATAAAAGCAGAAAGAAAGGCAGTCCCTGCCTTCAAGGTGCTTACATTCTAATGAGGGAAGACAACTCATAAAAGGGAGCTGAAGGAAGGGGCAGGGCAAGAGATGAAGGTTGGAGGTAGGAGCCTTGTAGAAAAGGTCTGGGAAAGTCAAGAATACAGTCTGGAGAGGAGTGAAGATATGACCAGTCTCTTCCTTAAAATGGAAATTGTAGGAAGAACCAGACAGTTTGAGGGAGAGGTGTCAAGTCTGGGGGTAGAATGAGCTCCCAAGGTGAGGAGGTTTCTGAGGAAGACCAGGAGAGTTAGGAGTGCAGCCTGGTGATGGGGAAATAGAGGGTGGAAGGAGAGGTAGGAATGAAAAGCAGCTAAAGATGAGCAAAATGAAATGACTTCTCCAAGTAAGAATTAGAACTCAGGTCTTTGGATTCCCGCCTCTTTCCTTCACAAGAGTAAGCTAGGAGCCCCTGCCTCTTCTTATTAAATTTAGCAACATTTGTAAGCCCTACTATGCATAAGAAGACCCCTGTGTAGGCCCTGGGGATTCTTCAAGTCTTCATTTGAACCATATAACAAGCATATGAGGCAAAAGCAATAGGTATCATTATCCTTGCCTTACTGTTGAGGAAACTGAGGCTTAGGGAGTTTAAATGACTTGCCCGTAGTAAGTGGACATCAATGCAGGTACTTCTTCCAGTAGTAGAATTCATCCCATTCATCGCAGTCTATGAAACTAGCCTTGCCCCTGTCCATGTCTTTCTACAAATCCTGCACAAGAGCTCCACCCTTCCGGCTGGGGGCCCAATCTCTAGACTGTAAGGATCTAGCAAAGATGGAGTTCACAGGATCATTTATCCCTCACTCCAGAACCAACCCACCTTCTTTTACTTTTTATTTTTTTCTGAGGCAATCAGATTAAGTGACTTGCCCAGGGTCACACAGCTAGTAAGTGTATAAGGCTGGATTTAAACTCAGGTCCTCCTGACTCCAGGGCTGGTGCTCTATACACTGTGCTATTTTGCTACCTCTCCCACCTTCTTTTTCCAATCACACATCTCTCTAATGATCTTTATTCTGTGCTGGGGACACAATGAATAAAAAGCAATAGCCCCTGCTCTCAAGGGGCTTACAATCTAATAAAGAGGATGAGAAATAAGAAATAAGAGAGAATAGAAATAAGGTAGAATATGATCAGGACAAAGAAGAAATTTAAACAAAGTTCACTAAGAACATTTGAAGAGGAAGAAATCCCTTGGAAGAGAGAAGGGAAATTAAAGGAAATTTCACAGAAGAGATTGTACCTCATCTGTGCCTTGAAGAAAGGAGGGGAAGAGAATAAGCATTTATATAGCATCTTCTGTGTGTGAAGCACTATGCTGTCTATTTTTTTCTTTACAAATAAATTTTAATTTGATCCTCACACCCACCCGGTGAGGTAGAAGCTATTATTATTCCCATTTTACAGTTGAGGAAACTGAGGCAAACAGAGGTTGAGTGACTCACTCAGGGTCATATAACTTGTAAGTAAGGCCCGATTTGAACTCTGGTCTTCTTGAGTCCAGGCCTGGCAGTCTGTCCACTGTACTACCTAGCTACCTCTAAGAAAGCGAATGGTTTCTCCAAAGGAAGATATGTGTTCTAGGCATGGGGAAGAGCCAACACAATTGGATGAGGAGAGATCAAGATGGAATTATGATAGTCAGTTTAGCTATAATATAAAGTTCATGAGAAGGAGAACATTGAGAAGTAAGGTTGGAGAGGATGCTTGGAATAAGACTGTGAAGGGCCTCATCTGGCAAGCAAGTGAGTTCACATTTATCCTATTAGAAACGGAGAATCACTGAAAGTTTCGGAGTGAAGTATAACATAGTCAGACCCACCATGTCTTAGGAAGCTTATTTTGGCAGTTTTATAAAGGATGGATTGGAGAAGGAAGAGACTAAAGTTAGGGAGAACAGCTGGGAAGCTATCACAATAACCCAGGAGAGTTATAAAGGGTGGTGGCCATATGTGAGTGGAGAGGAGGAAATGAATGCGAGTGATATTCTGAAGACATTATACATGTGGGGATGATGGAGAAGGAAGCCTCCTGGGTTTGCAGACCTAGAGCTGGAAGCAATCTTAGGTCAGCCATGATCTTTTAAAAGGGGTTCCAACTGGCAATGTTGAAAGAGGTTCTATCCCCAGTGGACAGTTGAGGCATTGAGGCCCAGAGAAGTATAGAGTGAAGCTGGCCTGGAAACAAAAAGAGAGGAAAACTTCCCTCAGTCCCCACTCAATCTCAGAATGCCACAATCATGGAAACAGTGACCACACCTGAATTATGAGATGCTGTCCCCTGGGCCTAGATTTTTCACTGTGCCACCAGACGTTGCTTCTGAGGATTTAAACAAGCATATCCAGGCCTCCCCATGTTTGGATTCTCAAGTACACTCTATTACTTAGGACCATGTAAAGTGGGTCAAAGGAAAGACAGCAGGACAGCAGTCAGACCTTGAGCTTATAGGCTCAAAGGCTCATAGATCATAGTACTAGAAGAGACCTCGAGATGGTCTAGTTCAACCCCTTCATTTTACAAATGAGAAAACTGATGTCAAGTCAAAAAGTGTTTGTTGAATGTTTACTATGTGCCAGGCATTATAATAAAAAGAAGCAAAAAAAAAAGTCTCTGGCTTCAAGGAACTCACAATCTAATGGAAGTACCAGGTACAAGGAGCAATTAGGTGGCACAGTGGATAGAGCACCAGCCCTGGAATCAGGAGGACCTGAGTTCAAATCCAGCCTCAGACACTTCCTAGCTGTGTGACCCTGAGCAAGTCACTTAACCCTGATTGCCTCAAGAAAAGAAAAACAACCTATGTACAAACATGATATATATGTATGTATGGGATAACTTGGAGTCCAGAGAGGTTGGGTAAGACAAATCCAGGCTATGAAAGGAGTAAGTAGCAGAGCTGGGATTAAAAACCTGATTCCTCTGATCCAGAGTTCTTTTCTCTACATCCCTTGGGGTATCCCCAAACAAGACCGACTCAGAATTTCCTCAGGAAAGGAATAAGACCCAAGATTAGAGACAGTCTCATTCAACCCCTAAATCCACTTCTAATGATGAGAGGGAATTGGGTTCTCCTTGTCAGGAAAAACTGTCCTTAAAAAGTGAGCCTTGACATATCTCAAGCTGTAGATGTCCCTGGCTGGAGGTAGAACACCTTGGAATTTCCATGACCCAATTAGCAACTTTAAAATGTTTGATTCTGGCTCTAAATAAAAATATTCTCCTTTTCCTCCTCTTTCCCTTCCCACGCTCCTTGATAGCATATGATTAAAGCCTCCCACCCAAGTATGTAGACTTTGGGGGTAGGGAGCTAGCTACTAGCTACCATATTTTAGCATTAGAGACAGACAGAGACGACAGAGGCAGAGAGGTGGGGGGGGAAGGGAGAGAGAAAGTGAGAAGCAAGAGATTATTTTTAAGTGTTTGTTATGTGCAAAAGCACTGGGAATATAAATAAAAGCAAGTATCACAGTCCCTACTCTTCAACAGCTTACATATTAGTGGGGGAAGACCATATGTAAAGGGGAGCTAGCTGGAAAGCAGGGAAGGGGAAGGATGGCATTCATTAAGGAGGTGAAGGGGTCCAGAGGAAAATACGAAACCTAGCTGGGGTCCTTCCTGCAGTGGTATTCAGGGCAGGGGCAGGAGTTGCCAATCAGGAGAGGTGGGCAAAGAGTTCTCCGAGGCTCAGTGTCCTAGAGATGCAAGATGACTATGCCACTTTTTCATCTTTTCACTTTTTTTATTAAAAAAAGTGGAAAGGTTTAGTAGTTTCTTCCTCTACCAAGTAAGTTCCTTTGAGCAAAGCTGGAAAGACACAGATCCGTCAGCTCATGGATTTAGAGTTGGAATCAAGCAATCGTCAAACATTTATTAAATGCCTGCCATGTGGCAGGCGTTGTGCCAAACGTACCAAGACAAAAAATGAAACAACTCCTCCCTTCAAGGAGTTCATGTTCTACTGTTCACTTGAACCCATTCACAGACGAATAAATACAGGATATAGAAACAAATACACAGTAATCTGAGAGGTGGGAACCTTACAGATCTTTGAATCCAACCCCATCATTTCATAGACAGGAAGATTAGCAAGTGGTCCAACAAACCTCCCTCCTTCCTTTTCTTCTTTCTATCTTTCTGCTTCTCTGTTTCCACCCTAATCATTCTGTCTCCACCTGAAATGTCTTCCATTTTCAGTCCTCTGTGTCTAGCACCGAAAAAACCTTCTGTCTTTTCATTCCAATGTTTCTTTCATCTGCTCGCTGGCCCTCACTCCACACATCCTCTTGATACACAACGTCTTTCCTTTTGGTTTTCTTTCTCCTCTGTGGATCTTTGTTGATTTTTCTGCTTCTCCTTCTCTCCCTGTCCATGTTTCTCTCTTATCAACTCTTATTTGGGTCCTTCAGACCTTCTTTTGAGTCGCTTTTTGAAAAGTTGCCTTTTAATTTGATCATGCATCCAAATCTAATCCTATAGATCAGCCTTAAAAGCAGCACATATATTTGCACATATGAATAAACTATTTCATGAATTTCCTTGCCATATTCCTGTTTTTTGAATGTTCCATGGGTCTTCAGTGCTACACATGACTGGCAATGCTTTCAGTATTATTCTCAAGTCCTCTCTAAACCCTTGGCTGTTTGTTTTTTAACAGTTTCCAGTCCTCAAGACAAAATCATTTTGCTTCTCTGTTTCCAGCTGGGTTATTTTGCCTTTTCCACTGTTCTTGTAACCCAAATACTGTTCAGCATCTGGTTCAGGGCCAGTGGACCATGAGAAAAGGAACCGTTGCAGGTGCAGCTTACACTAGGACTTAATGGGGAACTACGTCCCTCTCTATGAGAGGCTTTTCCTTCTTTTATACTTCCAAGCAAGAGCAGATCCTTCTTAATAACTAATTGGCAAGAAGATCTGTCTAGAATTTTCCCCTGACCCAGCCTCAAGGGCCCTGCTGAATGGATTCTGGTTGACTGGGAGAACATAACTGTAACAGCTCTCTGCCTTTACATGGGAGTATAAGAACAAGTCAGGAGATGCCATGCATTGGTTTGGGTCCTTTACTATCAGGAGAAGGTCAAGGGGTGGGGAACCTGCGGCCTCGAGGCCACATGTGGCCCTCTAGGTCCTCAAGCGTGGCCCTTTGATGAAATCCAAAGGATTTTAGGCCACAGATTCTGTCAAAAGGCTGCACTTGAGGACCTAGGGGGCCACATGTGGCCTCGAGGCCGCAGGTTCCCCGCCCCTGATCTGGGCACTAGTTGAATTAGCATGAAAATATATGTGATTCAGTAATACTGCTCTGTTCTCTTTTAGGCACCGAATCTCCAAATCAAAATTCAGGTGAGTGAGATATTTCTCCTTTCTTCTCTTGCATCCTGTCCCTCCTATCCTTCCCCTGCCTCTTTCAAATGACCCAAAGCACTTCCCATCAAGTTGGGGGAAGGGGTGCTGTCTAAGGGAGTGATTTCTTCCTTCTTGTGTATAGGCCAAGCCAAGCTTCAGAAGGTCAAGAAAAGCTACTGTCTCAAGGGTCAAATTTACTGAAATGTCCAAATAAGCCAATCCTGATGTCAGTGACATCATGGAAGAGCAGTGAGAGTAAAGAGGTGGAGAATTAGAATAAATCATACTATAGATTATTGGGCCAATTTTATAGGTGTATACTATTAATTTATTTTTTTTGTTCATAGTATTGCCATTTTTAAACCTATTTCATTGAATCATAGTGGAAAGGAACCTTAGAGATCATCTAGCCTAACCCCTAAGTTAGGCTCAGAGTAGAGAGGTGACTTTGCCAAAGTCACACTGCCAGTAAGTGACAGAGTCAGTGTTAGAGCCCAGGTGTTCTGACTCGGAGTTCAGTGCCCTTTCCATTATACTAGCACAACACTTATTAAACTCCTATGGCAAAATGGGTATCACAAAACACACCTGAAACACTGAATGCAGAGCTACTAATACTACAGAAGTTCCCTGACCAAAGAGTCTAAATGTCCCCAGAGAGCTTTGAGCCCTGCAGCCTTTAGAGAATTCTGCACTTTCTGCCCTTTTGAGGAGGGGAGGATGGAGCAGCAGTGCCCTGTCACCCCCGTGCCTCCAGGGAGAGTTCTCTCCCACTAGAACAAACCTGTTTCCTTGTTAGCATGAGGGAAACAAGAATAACAGGCATAACTCCCCTCCCTGTTTTACTATGTCATTTCCATATCTTGCCCGCATATGTAAACATGCACATATTCACACATACAAATAAATTATGGCATTTATTATACAATAGAAGGTGTTGCCAGGAAACCCGTTGCTAAGCAAGCTATATTTTGTAAGAGTGGGAGGTGTGTAAATTAGCTTCTAAACACCTTCTCTGGTTAGCAGTTACTCCCTTATTCCAACCCAAATGAATGTGACATTCATGAATGGCTATATGCAAGAAGAGCCAAATAGGGCACCACCCTATTAATTGGTGGCCTTATCCAATAGGGAGAGTACAGTTATGGAGTTCAGAGGGCCTGGGTTCAAATCCTGTAGCTGATGCCAACTATCAGTGTGTCCTTGGATAAATTCCTTCATCTCCCTGAGCTTTAAGGCTTGGACTAGATGATGTCTGAGATCCTTACTAACTTTAAATCTATAATCTTATGATCTTCCCATCAAGGTACCAGGAAGAGCCATGAAAGTGAGTCCCTAATGTGTCTGTAGCAAGGAAGGCTATTTGTATCAAGGATACCTGACATTCATACTCGGGCTTGGAGAAAGTGTGAAAATAAAAGCCAAGCTTCAGAAGAGTTATGTGTCCTTCCACATGCAACTCCTTCTAGCTTAAAAGACCAAAATACAACTATGCCAGCCCAGGAGAGGCCTAAGCAGGAATTTTGTGCCTGGGAAGCTCCAGAGGCCTCTGGCCATCAAAATCACATTATTGCTCTGTTCCTTTGTCCCTCTGAAATTCAAACTCCTTTGTTCAAGCAGTTTAAGGTACCCTGAAATATATGTTTTTGAAAGTCTTGATTTTTTTCATTGCACATACAGCAGGCATCCACCAAAGAGGGAGTAAGGATGCCATGCAAAGATTTTGCTGCCATTTTGCAGTTCTCTTGCAAATACTTGTGGTAATAGGCATGTTACATTAAAGCAATACCTGCCTGATTGTCTGCCTTCCCTGCTAGCTTTGCAAGGTAAGAAACTACCTGAGGGGAAGGGAAAAGGCTCCTTTTGCCCTGCTGTGCTCCTCATTTTTTCACTTAAATTGGAGTTAATGTCAAACTGAATATAACATCTGAGCTAGGATGGACTTTAAAGATTATCTCCTTCAACCCTCTTATTTTATGGATCACAGAACTATAGGAGAGAGAACTTCAGGTACTTTATGCTACAATGCCCTACACTACCTCCATCCAATGAAGACTTGTTTCTCTCCACTTGACCAGTGCTTCCCAGGAGTGCTCCGGTCAGAGAGTAGTAAGTCAATAAACAAATGTCAGACTCTCCCAAAGAATTCCTAGACCTAGGAACTTATGAGAAAATCTGTACTTTGGGGAGGGGTACTTTTCTAAAGATGAGCTAAAATAGCAGTAAGCCTAATTTGTATCTTATATTTGTATACTGCTTTGCAGTTTGCAAAAAACTTTCACATATTGTTTTGATCTAATTTGAGCCTCAAAGAGTGGAATAGTGGAATTAGAGTCAGAGGACTTGGGTTGGAATCCTGGCTTGGCTAAACACTACCTATATGACCTTGGGAAAGTCACCTCACTTTTCTGGGTTAATGTTTCTTATTTGACCAAATTTTCACTGAAGTCAGTTCCTGGCTTTGTATACATGGAGACAAGGCATCTTAGACAGGAGAACAAAAACTTTCTCGAAAGACACAGATATTGGGGGCAGCTAGGTGGCGCAGTGGAGAGAGCACCAGCCTTGAAGTCAGGAGGACCTGAGTTCAAAGACAGCCTCAGACCAAACACTTGACACTTACTAGCTGTGTGACCTTGGGCAAGTCACTTAACCCCAATTGCCTTAAAAAAAAAAAAAAGACACAAAATATTCACTGGATGCTGTGTTCTGCTGTCCAGTCTTCCATTCTCCTTTATCTTCCCTTTGTCTTCCCCAATCAATACGTTGCTCTTTAGCAGAAGCAGCACATTTTGTCAGAAGGTTTCTGAAGAAAAGGCAGAGCCAAGACAAGACTCTCTCCTGGGCAAGTCCTGAAGATTGTGGTCCCCCTCAACATCAATGAAAGACAAGAATTCTTGATAAAATGCTTTCTTTCATTGTTGTGGTATGTGGCCACAAAGATGTGTTTACTTTGGGCTTTGGGCCTTCCCTATAAAATATGCAATTTGATCTATCACAAAATAAATCAAAATGAATGTCAATATGCCATGGAAAACAGGATTTCCTAGCCTTGAAAAATAATTTTGAGAGGCAGCATGGAATAGCGGGCCAGCTTTGAAAGTCAGAAAGGAAGAAAGAAAATGAGCATTTATTAAGCACGTACTATATGCCAGACACTGTGGTAAGTGCTTTTCAAATATCGTTTCATTTGATTCTCACAACAACCCTTCGAAGTAGGTGCTATTATTATCCCCATGTTACAGTTGAGGAAACCAAGGCAAACGGAGGTTAAATGATTTGCCCAAGGTCATACATACAAAGGTTCTTGTGAGAATCAAATGAGATAATAATTGTAAAGTACTGAGCATATACGTTATTTTATTGTTGTTGGGTTGTTTCAATCATGTCTGACTCTTCATGACCCTATTTAGTTTTTTCTTGGCAAAGAAACTGGAGTGGTTTGCCATTTCCTTCTCCAGCTTATTTTTACACATGAAGAACCAAGGCAAACAGGGTTAAATGACTTACCCAAGGTCACACAGTTAGTAAGTGTGTCTGAGGCCGGATTTGAACTCAGAAAGATGAGTCTTCCTGATTCCACGCCTCTCACTCTCTTCACTGTGCCACCTAGCTACCGGTAAGTTCCCTAAATGCTCCACATCCTTGGCAGCTACCTATATTAACTACCCTTAGTCTAGGTTTGACATAGCAGTCTATTGCTCCCACCATCTCCTAATAAAATTTTCAGGCCAGAAGGAACCGTGGAGACCAGACTATTCCATTGAAGCATCTGAATGAGGCAGCTCCTCTGAGACTCAAGTTGATGGGTTCCTAACTTTTCATTCCCTATTCCCACCTCATCCACCCCCCCCCCAACCTTCTACCTCTTCTTTTCCTGTTTTTCAGCCGCTACTGGCGCCGGTGGAACCGATTCTGCAGAAGGAAGTGTCGGGCTGCTGTCAAATCCAATGTTTTCTACTGGCTTGTTATTTTCCTTGTGTTTCTCAACACCCTTACCATCGCCTCAGAGCACTACAACCAGCCCCACTGGCTCACAGAAGTCCAAGGTGAGGGGCACCCCCAGCCTCAGTTCCCTCCTGTCCCTGCTCACCTCTCCTTAACCCCAAATGGATGTGAAGTCACCAGTAGTCAGAGACTTTATGGAGATTTGGCCCATATATATAACTTAATGGGGTGTTGGCCAACAGTTATGACAACAGACATACTCCTGGCCAGAGCTGTCATAAAATATAAGAAATGCTTTATAAATAAGCCCCCCTTATCTGGCTAGGCCCATACCATCTGCCAGCCCCGACACACTGCTTGTTATGTCCAGGTGATGGGAGACAAGGCCCTTCTGGCAGTTCACTTGCCAAAGGGAATTTTCAGAGCTGTGTACAGGTCCAACTGTGCTCACCACAAAGGACATCTGTTGACCAGAAAAGTCTGGAGTGGGGAGGGTGGGGGAGGGAGGAGGAGAGGGGAAGGATAAGAAAATAAAAGAAACAAACTGACAATCCTAATAAACCATTTCTTCCTAAGTGGAAGCACCAGGAGGTACTAGAGAAAAGAGGATCTCATTCGATTGTGCCCCTAGAGTAGAGATATAATTAAGAAAAATGGGCTATAGCCAAGAGAAAGGCCACATTGTAAGAACTACCAACTATGACTGGTGTACACTGGGAATTCAGGAATGTTCGTATTTATTTCAGAGCCATAACAAGAAATTCTAGTGCCTAGGGCAAATTTCTTTAAGAGAAGGAGCACACAAATTACAGCCCATTCTAGTTTGATGCAGTCATGCCAGAAGAAAGGTTGATTCATTTCCTAGGGAATATAGCTCTAGTCCAGTGGTGTGGTAGTAAATGTTTAACAAGCAGCTGTCCAGAAAAGAAAATGTACACATGACAGCATTTTAAGTTTAATCTGCATTATTAACATTTTTAATCACTTATAATCAACAAAACAATAAAGCATCTCTAGCATTTGCTGGTTTCTGTGGCATCAGTGCTCATGCTGAAAATCTAACAATCAGCCCAGTTGGTTCAAGCTGTTCCTGGCACATGGCTGCTTTAGCCCCTCCCTCCCATAGAACAACTGGTTGTAGACTGTCCCTACCTCTCCCCCAACAAGGGGAAGGTGGGGAGAGGAACAAGGCACAGCATTGAAAAGAGGCAGACTCGGGAGGCCTTCATGGATAGTACTGACAGTGTCAGCAGAGAACTATGAAATGAGGAGACAAAAGACCACTGTAGGGAGGAAGCATTCCTGCCCTCCCCCTGGATGTTGAAACCCTGGGGCAAAGTTCAGGTTACCTCACCCTAGTTATAGGCTCATCTGCCTTCCCTGACTAATGAACATCACAGTGAGAGTCCTTCTCATAATCATCAACTTCTTCATCAGCATCACAACCCCCACCAGTACTCCCAAAGAGCGTGGATAAAGCGCCTACTTTAGTATGGCACCAAGCTAGGTACTGTACCCAGAGAGCTAAACATGGTGCCAGTTCTCTAGGTGACTACCGCCTTCTAAAACATCCCTTTTTCTTCATGTAGACTCTAGCTTTTTTAGTGCTTTGAGGTGATAAAGAGGATTTAGAGTGCCGGAAATGGGTTGGGGGAAGGGGAGATTTTTTTTAGTTAATAATTTTTCCATCTTTGCTTTCCCCATCCCCAAATTCCTCCTCTTCTGGATCCTGCCAGACACTGCCAACAAGGCCCTGCTGGCTCTTTTCACTGCAGAGATGCTGTTGAAGATGTACAGCCTTGGCCTCCAGGCCTATTTTGTGTCTCTTTTCAACCGCTTTGACTGCTTCATCGTGTGTGGAGGAATCCTGGAGACCATCCTGGTAGAGACCAAGATCATGTCCCCCCTGGGGATCTCAGTGTTGAGATGTGTCCGGCTGCTGAGGATATTCAAAATTACAAGGTACTTAGAAACTATGAAGGAGGTACCTCCATGGAGGGACATTGGATGGGTGGCCTGCATTATGGGTTATGCGAAATGTATGGGAGAGAGAACTGAATATGACAGTCTCAAATTCTCCATTCAACCATCCATCCACTCTTTTTCTATCTTTCTAAGAACTTTAGTCTACTTATATGCATAATTCCTGGTGCATTTGGACTAATCAAAACATTTCATACAGAGGATCCTCAAAACATATTTAGAGGCAATCTGGTATAAGAGGGGGAGTGTGGCAGAGTAGAAAGAGCTCTATGGAGTCAGAAGGGATCTATGTTGATAGGCTGGGTCTCAGAAGACTAACTGTGATGCTGGGCAGGTCACGTGACTCTCTTGAGATTCATTTTCTTCACTTGAAAAATGAGAATAGCTACCTCATAGAGCTGTTGTAAAGCAACTGCTTTGCAAACTTTAAATTATAATGAAATGTGAGTTATTACTACTATTGGCTGATGAAAGATAGCCCAAAGTGAAACTACAGTTATCCGTTCCACGTCACAACTTTCCCCATCACCGTGTCACTGTTTCGCAAGTCGGCATAAAAAAATTAAATGGGTATTTGGGGGGAGTTCTGTGGAAGCCACAGATGACACACAGCAGATGATACAGAAAAAGCTTAGAAACTCAGAAATGCATAAAATATATGTATAGTATTGTATAATATCAAGAAAAAAGAGAAGGAAATCCATGAAGTCAGAAGACATCTTTTCTGGTATGAAGGGAAGGCCAAAAAATTTTACATGGATTTTCCAAATCATGGAGGTGCTGTACCCCTAACCCCCCAATGTAGAAGGGATAACTGTATTCTTCCTGGCCTCAACACATCCCACAGAGGGAGGAGGAGGAAAAGAGATCAATTGTTAACAAAAAGGAGAAGGGTGGATAGAGCACCGGCCCTGAAGTCAGGAGGACCTAAGTTCAAATCTGGCCTCAGAACAGACACTTGACACTTATTAGCTGTGTGACTCTGGGCAAGTCACTTAACCCCAATTGCCTAAAAATAAAATTATTTTTTAAATTTTAAAAAAAGGAGAAGGGACATCCTTTCACTTTGGTAGGATGGTTCTAACATTAACCATTGTATTTGACCAGAGTTTTATTGCCTCTCCATAGTGACTTAATTTTCTGTAGTCATTGAGTGTATTATTCTTTTAACTCTGCTTTCTTCAACCTGTATTGTTTCACATAAGTCTTTCCACATTTCCGTGAATCTTCATATTCTTCATTCTTTATTCATTATTTATGAAATATCCTATTTCATTCATATGCTATAATTTGTTCAGTCATTCTTCAGGTAATGGGTATATAGTTTACATCCAGCTTTTTGTTATCAGAAATAAGGCCCTTATGAATATTTTTTAACATATGAACCTTTTCTTGCTGTCAGGTACTTTCTTGAGATATAGTTCAAGTAGTATACTACATGGACTGTGTGACCTTGAACAAGTCATTTGGCTCTTTGGGTTTCAGTTTCCTCATATGTACAATGAAGGGGACTAGATGCCTTTCAAGGCCCCTTCCAGCCATAAATATGCAAAGTACATAGAGAAACTCCAGCCAGAGAAGAACAGAATGCTGCTATGTGATAATGATACTTTTCACTGTGTTGCATCCCCAGAAATTGAAGTCCTTGCATTTTCAAGTAGTTTTTAGCTAAATCATGTTACCACCACTTACCTGGTGATAATTTATCCTATTCCAGAATTTCTCTTATTATATATTATATATGATTCCTTACAGATATTCATTCATTTATCAAGTAATTAGTGATTACCCACTCTATGCAGGCAACATTCTCTTGATCATCCAAATCACCTGAAGTAATTTGGTTTCCCCAGAAATTGATGTGTATTCATGATTTTGCAAATGGACAAACTAGTCCAATTTCCCACCCCCGGAGGCGTTGATCTGTGAAGGGGGTATCATGGGCATTCTTACAGTTTTTGGAGCGTTGGGGGAGGGGAGGGGAGGAAAAATAAGCTTTATTCTTCCTCCTATCCTCCCACATATGGTGCCCTTATATTAATAATAGTAGCTCATGTTTCCATAGCACCTTAAGGTTCACAAAGCACTTTCTTTGCAGCAACCCTCTAGGGTTGATAATACAAATTGGATTATCTGCCTTTTACTGATAAATCTTAGAAAATTGGGGCACTGAGGCACTTGTCCAGAATCACATAGCTCATGTGTCAGAGGAGGGTCATCAAGCCAGGTCTTCCTGACTTAGGGTCAACTCTATTCACTCTACCAGGTGGCCTTACCTCTTAAATAATTATTAAAAGTCAGTGTGCTTTTAAACATTCCTAGAGAAAAAAAAAACCTACTTCCTAGCTGTTGTTATATCATCATGATTGAATTTAACATTTTTTTCTCCTTTTAATCACCAATTTATCTACCTTCATAGAAAAATAATGGCCTTAACATCATTTTAAAAAGCTTGTTTAAGAAAACATAGAACTTCCAAGGAACCCCTCCTTGGGAATGGTTTGTGTACTGTGCAGATAGTTATTTTACAGGCTTATGAGGCTATAAACATGATCATTTCAATACCTGATTCTCCAGACCCTATGAGTATTGATAAGGATTGATGGGAAAGGACATTGATAGAAAAAAATGTATATTACATTCAGAATCAAAAGACCTGAATCCAAATATCTCCTCTGTTAAATATGTGTGTGTGTATAGAGAGAGAGAAAAAGAATATATACAGGTATATAAACATACCTATATATTATATATTATATTGATGGTCCCAAAAGTCTCAGTGCAATTTTAAGCTTTAATACCTTAAAACTTTACTAAAACTATTGAAACACCCTGTAATATTACACACACATACAAACACACACACACACACAGTTCTTTTATATAATTACATATTTTAGACAGAACCTGTGATTTTATCTTTGTGAGGGGCTCCCTGTAAGGAAATACCCTTTACCAATGCACAGAGAGAGATTTAGTGACTTTCCTGAAATCACACAGCTATGTGTCAGAAATAGTACTTGAAACCAGTTCTTTCTGACTCCAAGGCCAGCTCTGTATCCAGTAGCCCATACTGCCTAATATGATCCCCAGTCAAGTGAGACTCCATTGAAAACTCCTTGTTTTATTAAACATACTTTAAAAAAAAAAAACTTTAAGGCAATTATTTTGCCTTGGAAATAAATTGGTGAGTAAAAATAAAGGGAATGTTAAATTTATTCATGATGATATAACAGTAGCTAGGAAGTAGACTTTTTACCAAGAGTATCTGATTTTTAAGAATTATTTAAGAGTCATAAGCCTACAAAATTAAAAATTTTCCTGAACCCAGGAGGAAAATGGAATCAGTCATTCTTTTGTGATAGCTCCAATTTGTGTAAACCTTTAGAGGCTTGTCCCAGGGGGTATAGGATAATTAAAGAGTCCTTAGTAGTTTATCTAGTATGTCACTTTCCACCTTGGGACATTATTTCCCACAAAAAGACTCCAGTATGGGCTCAAACAGAGCAGATTTAGTCCTAAGGGAGCCTGACCTCCAAATAGAGGCTTTTCTCATATCCTCTTGTCTTATTATGTCCCTATCCTAGAGTTCCAGGGAAAATCTCTTAAATAAAGACTAGGTATGGCTCATATCTAGGTGTCCCCTAAAAGGGATTAACAGAATCCCTTTTAGAAAAAGTATCCAATGTGCAAAGTAGATATCAAGCATAGGACAGCTATTTATTTCTTCTACCACAAAGGAAATGCTTAAAGCACAAAATACTCATAATCATGAGTAAAACATGTTAAAACCTAAAACAATAACTCCTATTATATCCTTCCAGGAAGTAAAAATAACTTTGTGGGACTGTAGAATATTCATTTTCACTTCAAACCTGTCTTCCCGAGCAATTCACAGGGATATATAGATCTCCTAGCCAACCAGAGATCGACTTTCTTACTTCTTTCAGTTGCAATATCCTCCTTACACCTTTCACAATGCAGGTGATTTCTCCTAATAGTGGTTCATTTTCTCATCTGAGAAGTAATATAATCACAGGAAACACCTCCCAATGGGCAGCTGGCACTGGCTTAGGCACTCGCTAACCCTGGAGCTTAAGAGATAGCCAGTAAGGCTGGAAAAACATTCATCTCTCAGGACTGCTGTTCATAACCTGGGGTCACAGAAAGAACCACAAAATAAGAGGGAACCAGGGTCTTGAGGTCTGACTCTCAGGCTCATCTAGGTAAGCCCATGTTCTCACTGCCATGTGCATGTAGCCACCATAGCTGCTGTGGGGCAAGGGAAGATAAATTCCATCTCCTCCTGTTCCCTTGTTAGAAGTCCAAGGAAAGTCCCAAGAGGTATCCTTGAGGGAAAGAAAAGGAAATGGAGCAGAATGTGGGCAGAAAACAGAAAGACAAACACACAGAGGAAGGGAAGGGGAGGGAGGAAACCTTTGTCTTCTCCTTATATAGTCTACTGGGTTGGCTGCTCTTCTTGGGTTAGCCTCCTGTCATTTTTGTTATTTACTTCCCTCATCCCAGATTCCCACTCATTCCCGAAGAATGTAAGCTCCTTGAGAACATGAACCATTTTATTTTGTTTGTCTTTATCTTTCTAGCACTTATCACAGTATTAAACCCATAGTAGGTACATAGTAATTGTGGAATTGAAATAGGAGTGGGGTGCACTCAAATCCTCACAACCAAATATTTCCCCTTCTTAAAAATCACTGTTAAAAGAGATTTCTTTCTCCTTGGAAATACATCTCAGTGTCAGACAACCCTCATAGCAAGGAAGTACTTCCAAAATCTTTCACCAATCCCCTCTTGTTGCAATTTAATTCACTTCCCTATTCTAATAAAAGAAGAAGTACTATTCAGGCTCATGAAATATTTCTTTATATACTTGAAGATCTGAGCCTTCCTCCCACTTTCTTTTCCCTGGACTCTAGCTCAGTTGATATTTACAAAATAACCACAAGTCATGTGATTCT